GATTCTCTTGTGTTAGACACATCATGGGAGAATCCTGACCTAGCCAAGTTGACACAAAACTTAATTTATCACAAGCGGTGTGGCCTACTCAGATAGGTTGACTCTGTAGAAGATAGCCAGGCCCCTTTTTGCTGGTTCGGATTCTGCATCTGATTCATTGAATGGCCATATTGGCTTCTGACCCTGGGAGCTATTCATGACCTGTCAGTGTCTATTAACCTTGAATTTATTTGACTCGACAACCACAAGCTTGACTTTCTGACCTTGGGTTTAGCTGTCTCTTCCCGCTTCCTGGTTCATCTTCCTGCTTCAGATTCATCAGCCCTGGTAGCTCCATGAGTCAGGAAAAGCCACAAGCTTAAAATCTGATGCACAGACTTGAACCAGCCTCTTCTGCAACTGTCTAAGCTACTTTCCTGATATAAAAATTCTTTCTGTAGACATAGGCTGCTGGCTTTGGTTCTTAGAGAATTCTGCCTGACCACTCATCAACGTAACAGCACGCTCCCCACCTTACTGAGCTTCTCCTTTCCATGCAGCCTTCTTGCTTGCCTCTTCCTGCCTTTTGAGCTTTGTTTGTAGGCAAATGTTATCCTTTGGTTTCACATGGTTGTTCTGGGCCACCTCACAAGTGTTGTTTACTTTGTAGGTCCATTGCCTGGCTGAAAGCTGGTCTCCAGGAGCAATTCAGTTCTAGGTCTGAATGGTGTCTAAGGGTCAGGGGTCCCACTAATATTTGTCAGACTATGAAATGTGATTTATTTTTAAGATTTAAAATTCTGTTCTACATTTTTCTCCCATTCTACTGTGATCCCGAGCAGAGCAGTTGGTAGCAGGATAGCCATGCACCATCTAGTTCTTCAGGCTACTGGAGGCTGCTGTTTCAGTGGTCTAAACAGTCTATTAGTGGTCTAAATAGTCTATTTGGACTGTTTCCTTGAATTAAAAAAATTTTTTTTTCTTTATTCCTCTTTGTTCTGGACGAGAATAGACCAATGATCCTAAACCCTCAAGTTTGTGTAACTTAGTCCCTGTATGATCTATCTTGGATATATTTGCAGCACATAGTTGGTCAAGCCTCTCTACGCTCATAGCTAGACTCTCTTACACTATCCTGCATCTGGTTGGCTTACATATCTACCTATGTATCCAGGCATCCATTGTGCGTTTTGCTGTTATGTAATAGTATTTACCATCGTTGCCTTTTGCTGTTAATAACGATTCACTTCTCTGCCTAATTTTAATTCAATAGTTTTGCATTTTTATTCTCTTAGAGAGCTCTACAAAGCCTCTGCTCTCGAAGCCAAAATACACGTGACATCCTAAAAGGTTCTGGCAATTATTTACTTGAGACAGAATTTCATTGAGAGTTCAAAGTCGGGGTGAGGAAGGGAGAGTCTGGCATTGTGCCCTAGGGCTAGATCACTTTAACCAGTGAAGCTGAGTCCAACTCATGGAGGCCTGAGTGTGCCACAGTAGAAATGATCTCCACTGGTTTTCGAATGGCCGATTTGTTGGAAGTAAATCTTCTAAGAGGCCTCTGAGCGGACCTGAACCTGCAACCTTTTGGTTAGCAAGGGTGCATGCTAATTGTTTGCACCACCCAGGGACTTTGAGATAGTTTATTCCCTTGTTACAAATAAAATGGTAAATCCTTCCACCCACCACATAGAATCCCATGTCTACGCGGGGGACGGGATCTCCATGTGTACTACTCTGAGCTTTCATAGGATAGCCTAACCAGCTGCCCCTCTCCTCCACAGCTCTAGGCTTTTACTATCTGTCCCCTCAATGTCCCTATCTTTTTCCTCCTTGGGAGAGACTAAGGAAAACTGAGCTAAGATAATTCCCATCAATAACTGACTGGTTGAATAAATTGGAATATCGCTTTGCAATGAAATTGGAGCTGTGAAGAATATGTAAGCCTATAAGCACTGCAAGAAGGCCTGGTGATGCAGTGGTTAAGTGCTGGGCAGTTAACCAAAAGGTCAGCTGTCTGCTGTTTGAATCGATCAGATCAGCCCCTCTGTAGGAGAAAGATGTGGCAGTCCGCTGTTAGAAAGATTTACAACCTGAAGACCCTATGTGCAGATCTACCATCTCCTCCAGGATCGCTGTAAGTCAGAATCGACTTGACAGCAATGGGTTTATACGTACTGTTTTGCCACACAAAGCTCCACAGCGTTGTTTTTACTTATCTTCTCCTGCTGTCATCGAGAGGCCAGAAGTGAGTCGCATCAACACACAGACATTTAGTTTTCTCACAGGAGGCCAGCAGTCTGAATTTCAGGCTCTGCTGGCTCTAGGGGGAAGGCCTCTCTCTCTTGGCTCTGGAGGAAGAACTTCTTCTCTGTCAACTCCTGTTTCCCAGCTGTCTTTCTGTGGCAGGGCATCTCTCTCCTCCTGTCTCTGTTTCTCTTATGCTTATTTCATCTCTTTTATCTCTTAAAAGTTATTGACTGGAGATACAGCCTACACCAATGAAGTCTCAATAACCTAGCAAATGCACTCATTCCCAAACGGGATTATAATCATAAACAGAGAGGTGGAGATTTACAACGTATTTGGGGGGTGGGTCTAATTCAATCCATCACTACATCGTTTCCATTTTAAAATTAGACCAAGGGTCTGTCAAAGTTTAATTGGCAGCTTTTTTTTCCTTGTAAAATAATGGGGCATCTTATAATCAATGATCTGTTAGATTTGATTACTCAGTAAAAAAGGTAAGCATGTGTTTACTAATCTGTAGTGAACACCTTGTTTATGGGTCCTCGGCCCTGGATTTGGTGAAATACAATGTAACTATCAAGTACACATAGCATGACTCTCAGGTCAGGGCTGCAGTTTAAAAAGCTCTCTTAAAATGAAAACGCTTAAGTGCTGAGTTTACCACTGTCCACCGTTGAGCCAATTTACGGTGCCCTTATAACGGAGTAAGGGTTCCGGGGCTATCAATCTGAATTCGGAAGATTTCCTCAGCCTTCTCTCTTGGAGCGGCTGGTAGGTTTGAACCACTGACTTGTTGGCTAGCAGCCCAGTGCCTAACACACCGTGCACCTATAAAAAGCTCACTGCCAGCTGAGCTGATTCCAATCCCGAGCCACTCCATACGACCGAACAGAATCGCCCCTTTGGGTTTCTGGGGGTGGGACTGTTTGCAGAAGCACAACGCCCATCTATCTCCCCTGACCGTGTTCCTTTCAGGTTACTAGGCACCTGCTTCTGAGGCCTGGTTGACATGGCAATCACAGGTCATTGTCCTGTAAAAGTGGGAGTGGGCCAAGAATTCTAATGTTGAGGCTTCTCACCTTGAAGGAGCTAAAATCCCAAGTGCGAGGTAGGACCCTTCGGACTAGATCGATGCTCTTCGCTCCTGTGTCAAGCTGACAGCTAACCGCACACGCCCGAGAGGGGAAAAGGTGCCTGGCGTCCTGTAGGGTCGCTCTGAGTCCGAAATGACTCAATCGCAATGGGTTTTTATAGTTTATCATCCTGTATCCTTTCCAGGAAGCTAACTCAATCTCCAATCCGGGTGAAGTAAAACGTTGCCACTTAGGTAAATTTTTCGGAGTCACTAACCCAGGGGATCTTGGACTCCAACTACAGCCGTGTGATATGTATACTTACATTCGAAAAACAGGATAGACGAGTATGCTACATTTAGAGGTTATATGAACTTTAAACAACCACTTATGTGTATTTATAATCAGGAAAAAAATTTAAAACATCCCAATGAAGCATTATAAGATAATGTTTTTTTAAAATTCCCTCTCCTCGCCCTTCACGAAATTTCTAATGAGCATGAACTACTTTCCCAGTACAGATATTTGTTTTTAAGAACTAAACGACATCCCCGGCTGCCTAATATTAGTTCTTCAAATAAACATAAATGTACACATCCTTCAACACCGCCTGGGAAACGTAGAAATTTATACTCGGGTTTCGACATTTTTTTTTTAATTTAGCTAACGCATTCGTTAGAATAAACTCAACGCCTACCATCGGGTCGATGATAGTTCTGGCGGCTCTCACCTTTGTTATCTCGTCTAATTTTAAAAAGGACTTTTTGGAAAGGTAGCTCCAAGAAACCGGGAACTTGCATTCCCGGCAGACGAAGGGAGCCCGGGGCGTAGCGCCTCCCCTCTCACGTGACCCTGTGACCGGAGGACGCCGCTCACGCACGGCCTCGCAGCGGGAACTACATCTCCCAGAAGCCCCGCGCTTTTGCGTCGTGCTGGCACTCCGACCGGCTGGGCCTTCGAGCCAAGCCCGTCGCCGGGCGCCATCTTTGACGCTGGCAGTCTGGGATTTGTGCTGGTGTTGCTGAGAGGACGGCGGGTGGCCGCGGCGCAGAAAGAAGAAAGACGTGGCAGCCAGCGGGAGCCGGGGATCGTGTCGTCGGTTCGGTAAAGTTCTGTTCTCTGGTAACTAGTCCCGTTTATTAATTCCCGGGTGGCTTGGGGCCGGGGAGGTGGGGAGAGGGCGAGGGGAGTGGCAGCGGCCTCCCCTCGCCCCTGGGTCGCGGCCTAGCCCGGGAAGTCAGAGTGCGGGTCTTTGGGCCCCGCTGCAACGACCCCCTCTCCCCACCTCCCGGCGGCTGCGCTCGCTCGCCGGGCGCGCGGAGAGCCTCGGGCTCCCGCTCACTCTTCTCATCCACCCTGCCCCCACCCCACTCCCCCGGCGCCTGCTCCTTTCCCAACCTACCGCCCTCTTCCCCTCCCCCACATCCGGTGTAGAGAAACTTGGAGCCCCGAGCACCCTCCGGAGGCACCCTGTTCGCCCGACTCCCGGAGAGACAACTGACACGAGACTGCTTGCTTCGGGGCAACAGTTTCGCTGGTTGTGGACCCCCGACCTCCCACCCCTTTATCCCCCCCCTCCCCTCCCCCCGCTGCCGGGAGCTGAATTTACCTACTCTCGTTCCTCTCCAGGATCCCACTACTTTGGAGCTTTTTCTCAAATTCCACATCCCGAAAGCCACCGACCTCATTCCGGTACTCTACACCCCTTCCCCACCCTAATTACAGTCCCGCCCTCAGCCCTCACCTTCGGAGTCCAGCGCTGCAGGGACACTTCCGCCCTCCTTGTAGGATTGATGAACCCCTAATGAAGAGCACGCCCCCAAACTCCCCTAGTCGGTGCGGAATCTTCCCGGGGAAGACTTGTATGGTTCGCAGCGGCCAGACCTTGGCTCAGGACTTTGAGGAAAGGAGGCTGTGGACCTAGTGCTAGAGATGCTTTTTAGGGTAACTGTATGTAGGTATTGGGGGAAGGGGAGGGAACGGCCCCCCAGCAGTGGAAGTAGTGTAAAGCCCTTATTTCATTTTTTGCTGCTCGCATAGAGTTCAAATTGTGAGTTACTCATTTACCGCCCGTGAAGCTGCTCCAGTCTAAAAATGTCTGGATACTAAAACTGGATTAACTCTTGATGCAAACAGTAAATTTAAAATTACGGTTTGTAACCCGATTTTTATCATTTTAGTTTCAGGGCTTTTTTTTCTCCCCCTTAAGTCCCAGCCACCCACGTTTTTTAAAAAGGCAGATTGCTTTTAAGTAAAGCTGAAAGGGCTCAGCTAGCATTTGCTGTTCGTGACCAGTATGTGGAGTCTGCTCTAACTTGCCAGAACTAACTTTTTACCGGGTGTATTGGCTAATCACAGCCCTAAATGGTGAATGTTAAATGATGCACTGTTTTTGTCTGAATGAAATTTCCTGAAATATTTAATTTCAGAAGTAAGGGGAAATCAGAGCTGCTGTCACTAGGCATGTAAAGTACACATGGAAAGAGTTGAAGGCAGATACAGTTCTTGATGAAACAGAAAAAGCCTAGTCTTAGGATTTGGAAAACCCAGCTTCTAGCTGCTGCTGACCAACCTGATGACTCTGGGGGAGTGGGCCTCCATTCTTTTTCTATAACATGAAGAGGTTGGACTGTTTGAATGCTTCAGAACTCAGAGAGTTGGAAGGGAGCTTGAAGCCCTCTAAGAAAGAGTTTGGGAATGTTCTTCACTGCTGTCACTTTTCTTCCAAAAATAGCCTGGCTTGGAAGTCATTGGTCCGGAGGGAACTTGACTCCCCATAGGAATTGGAGAAAAGGTAACCTAAGTAGAGAGGAACAGCTGTATTTCTGCTTGAGTAGGAGACCCACGACAAGATTCTGGGACAGGTTTTGGAGGCGTAAAGAGAATGAGTGTATGTACCTTAAGTGTACCAGTTTCCTCACTGTCTCCTGGCAGAAGATGCAGCGCTTTTAGTGGAGCTGGGATTCTGGGATGTGTTCCTATTAATTCTAATACTGAAGAAGAAGATGTGGTAGAGGGAAAGATGGTAGCTGACGGAGTGGATAAAGAGGCAAAACTACCCTCTAAAAAGAAGAGAAAGAAGGGTTTGCGAATTAAAGGAAAACGCCGCCGGAAAAAATTGCTCCTTGCGAAAAAATTTAGCAAGGATTTAGGACCTGGGAGGCCCAGCGTAGATGCTCCTACTTTGTTAGCTTCTGGTGCCCATGAACAGGATGAAGAAAGTCTTTTTGAAGGCAACATAGAAAAACAGATCTACCTGCCTAGTACCAGAGCCAAGACCTCGATTGTGTGGCATTTCTTTCATGTTGACCCCCAGTACACCTGGCGAGCTATTTGCAACCTCTGTGAAAAAAGTGTCAGCCGGGGTAAACCTGGCAGCCATCTTGGCACCTCTACCCTTCAGCGGCATCTGCAGGCCAGGCACTCACCTCACTGGACCAGGGCCAACAAGTATGGAGTCACTAGTGGGGAGGATGAATTTTCCTTGGATGTGCCTTTATCTCCCTCTTCCCCTGGAAGCAATGGAAGCTTCGAATATATCCCTACTGACCCTTTAGATGATAATAGAATGAGTAAGAAACATGATAAATCAGCATCTGATGCCCTGAGGGCAGAGCGAGGGCGGTTTCTCATCAAAAGTAACATTGTCAAGCATGCCTTAATTCCTGGCACAAGAGCCAAGACATCTGCAGTTTGGAATTTTTTCTACACTGATCCTCAGCACATCTCAAGAGCTGTGTGTAATATATGTAAACGAAGTGTGAGCCGGGGTCGACCAGGATCCCACTTGGGGACATCAACACTTCAACGACACCTCCAGGCCACACATCCAATCCACTGGGCTGTTGCCAACAAAGACAGCGGTGCTGTTGGAGATGGATTAGATGACGCCGAGGCTGAGCGACGTGATCTCTTGAGTGATCCTCTGCATGGAGACAAGTCTACAGGCAGCCACAATTTAACAGCTGAGGATCTCAGTGACTCTGATTCAGATGACCCTCCTGCATTAGAAGTTGAGAATAGAAGATCTGAGAGTCCCATAGCTGCTGGGGAGCATGACAATTTAATGAATGCACAGGAGAGGAAAAGAACATACTGTGAAAATCCAGTCTCAAGTCAAATTAGTCAAGCAATTATTCAGATGATTGTAGAGGACATGCATCCTTACAACTACTTCTCAACCCCAGCCTTTCAGAGGTTCATGCAGATTGTGGCCCCGGACTATAGGTTGCCTTCAGAGACCTACTTCTTCACTAAGGCTGTACCTCGGTTATATGATTCGGTCAGAGAAAAAATTTTCTTAACTTTGGAGAATGTACAAAGCCAAAAGATCCATCTAACTGTTGACCTATGGACCCATGACCCAACCACCGATTATTTCATTGTGACTGTACACTGGGTCTCATTGGAAACAGTACCTTCTAATGACAGCAGGATCTCAAATTTGAGAAGATGGGCAGTGCTATGTGTGACAGGTTTGGCCAAAGACTCTTTGATAACCAACGTTTTACAAGAATTAAATGACCAGATTGGTCTGTGGCTTTCTCCAAATTTTCTCATCCCTAGCTTGATTGTAGCTGACAATTCCTCTAGTGTGGTACATGCAATCAAAGATGGTGGTTTCACCCATGTCCCGTGCTTCCTGCATTGTTTAAATACAGTCATTCAGGACTTCTTCAGTGAGCACAAAAGCATTGAGAATATGTTAGTAGCTGCTAGAAAAACCTGCCATCATTTCAGTCATTCAGTCAAAGCTCGTCAAATATTGCAGGAGTTCCAAAATGACCACCAACTTCCATGGAAGAATTTGAAGCAGGATGAAAGTGGCCATTGGGTTTCTACCTTTTATATGTTAAGGTGGCTTTTGGACCATTGCTACTCGGTTCACCATAGTCTTGGCAGAGCCAGTGGAGTTGTGCTCACCTCCCTTCAGTGGACTCTAATGACTTACGTTTGTGATATCCTTAAGCCATTTGAGGAGGCTACGCAGAAAGTGAGTGTGAAGACCACAGGCTTGAATCAGGTGCTACCCTTAATACATCATCTACTTCTTTCCCTGCAGAAACTCAGAGAAGATTTTCAAGTTCGAGGTATTGCCCAAGCCCTCAATCTGGTAGACAGTTTGTCTCTGAAACTTGAAACCGACAGCCTACTGAGTGCCATGCTCAAATCCAAACCCTGTATCTTGGCTACTTTGTTAGACCCTTGCTTTAAAAACAGTTTGGAAGACTTTTTTCCTCAAGGTGCTGATTTAGAAACTTATAAGCAAATCCTTGCAGAAGAGGTTTGTAGCTACATGGAATCGTCACCAGAGGTCTGCCATATTGCAACTTCAGAAGTTTCTGGTCCCTCCACAACAAGTGGAGCGGATTCCTTTACCTCGTCGCTAAAAGAAGGTCCCTCCAGTTCAGGCTCCATTAGTAGTTCACCTGCAGATACTGTTGCCATAGGGAGCAAAGGCTTCATGTTCCCTTCTGCACTAGCAGTAGTGGATGAGTACTTCAGAGAGGAGTATTCAGAAGTCTCAGGAGACGATGACCCTTTGCTTTACTGGCAGAAGAAAGTGAGCATATGGCCAGCTCTGACCCATGTTGCTATTCAGTACCTGAGCTGCCCCATGTGTAGTTGGCAATCCGAATGTATCTTTACTGCAAATAGCCACTTTCATCCCAAGCAGATCATGAGCTTGGACTTTGACAATATAGAACAGCTGATGTTCCTGAAAATGAACTTGAAAAATGTTAACTATGATTATTCCACATTGGTTCTGAGTTGGGATCCTGAGAATGAAGTGGCTCAAGGCAATGAAAAAGAAATAATATCTTAATTCCTTTTTCCATTTAAAATGAGCAATTTTTTGCTATCTTACTGTGTCCTAATTGCTATAGTTATATATAGTCATACTAATTAATCTATAAACAAATAATCTGGGGGAACCTGAAAACAACAGAAAAGGGCTGAAAATTCCTCAGAAGCAAGATAATTTTGGTAAAATGGAGATTACAGATTTCATAGTAGAAATTCTATTTAGCTGGTGCTTGAAATTTCGTGTATCAGTTGAGGGAGAAAAGATAAATTTTTATTTTAACTGGGGAAAAAAAATAGTGCAGCATTGAAAGGCCTTACACTTCTTTCTGGCTGTTAGATTGACCTAGTAGTGATTGGTTTGAAGTGAAAATTTCCCCCAATGTGGGGAGTGTGGTGGTTGTGCACCAATAGGGTGAGAGTCAGACACACTCAGCTGCTAACAGAAAGGTCGGTGGTTTGAACCCACCAGCTGCTCCAAAGGAGAAAGAGGTGGCAGTCTAATCCCATGAGGATGACAGCCGTGGGAACCAACCCAGCGGGGCAGTTCCACTCTGTTCTGTAGGGCCACCGAGTGGGAATTGACTTGACAATGGGTGTGTTTGTTTTTATTTTTTAAAACATGCTTACCTACAACTTGGCAAAAACAAATCCCATGAAAGTGTTTTATATTTGGAAATTTCTAAATGCCTCCTCATACTGGTCAGTTTTGTAATTTCAATTTAGTGTGATAGAGTTACCCCGTGTATTTAGGATTGGATCGGTATAAAACTGGGAAACATTTAGAAAACAGTAAGAAAATGGGTTTTTATTCTTTGAGTTGCCTTTTTATAATCTTGATGCAATAGAGTACGATTATATAGTTGTATAATTCTTGGGTAAATTACATAATATCAAGCTTATAAAAGATGGGAAAAACTGGGAACTGCAATGTTAAATGCCATGATGCCCTTTACAAACCCAGTATGCATCTCTCAGAGAATATTTCTCTAATTTGAAGTGATCTTAAACATCCTTTTTTTTTTTTTGAATTGAATGACCCGTTACACTAACTGAGGTATCTTTGAGATTGTTTTGGCCTCTGTATTCTTAACCAAAACAAAGCAGTCCGTGTTCGCATATGTTAGGAACCAGCGCCTCACTGGTGAAGTGAGGGAATGGACCCCAGTGAGCTCTAAGGTCACTTGCCACTCACTCCCTTATGTATGTCTCATCGAGCGAGTGGGAAGCCAGGAAAAAATGCTGACTTTTAGTAAAGTCGTATTAAAAGTTTCAGACTGAATTAACTAATGTAAGATCCCAATTTTTCCTTTTTTTCATTTTAGATTTGGGGATATTCCCTGCCCAAAAAATTCCTGGAAAATTGACTAGTATTAAGTGTGAGTAAAAGGTGTCCACTTTTTAACATTTTTGATTTTAGTTTTGTCTTGGATAGTATTGGGCAAGATTTAGCCTAGAAATTATGTAGTATTCGTTACTTGAGAATCAAAATTGCTTTGTTACTGGGCTGGTTTCAAATTTTAGAACTCATTTTATGTATCAAAATAGTTTTTTTTTTCTTTTTGTTTGCTTTTTGAAATTCTAAAATGGTAATTGTACCATTGTGAAATGCAATTTTAGCTCCAGAAGTTTACCCTTGAGTAGTTGGAAGTAAACGGATGATTGATTACGTCTTTAGCTGTAGCCATTAGTAATACAGAATTAGGAAGGAGGCTGCAGAAGTAAGCCTTTGTAGGGCCATTGTTGAATGCCATTGTCAGTGACGTTGGTGTTCGTATAAAAGGAAAAATCCTCCCTTAGAGAAATGTTCAGTGTCCCAGTGCCAGTTCAGGATGGCTGTAATGCTGCTCTGCCTTCTACCACTTGCTGCGCCTTTCTCTAGTCACTCGGTAACTATACGTTGCTACCTTTTTTAGTTAACACTCCCTGAAGATGGTATTGATGATAATAGACATACATGTTATACACATTCATATTATGTTTAAGGATTTCCCTGCATCTTTGTTTTGTTGGCTGGGCAAAATTTGATAGACAAGTGAGTTCACTATTTTTATAATGAACCCAATTCTAAAGGCTTTTAATAGTGCATTTTGAAAGGGAAACATACCCAAGTATTTTATTTCTACACATTTGTGTATATGTGACTGTATAAGCCAGTTAGTATCTGTGTATATATACTATATACATAAAACACTATATTTTTACATACCAGTATGCTTTTATTATACAGATAATAAAGATGGGGGAAGGTTTCTGTTTTTTTTTTCTTAATAGGTGAAGAAATCTTGAAGACAGAAATTGGATCTTAATGCATTTTGGTGTTTTTGGTTTTTTAAATTTTTTTTTCTCTTTTTCTCTTTTCTTTTTAAAATAAATTGTTCGACTACCGAAGAAGGATTTTTAAACATTTTTTAAAATAACTTTTTGACTCTTGAGTTCATTTTTAAATGAACTTTTGTGCTTTGTTTTTTGTTGTTTTGCTTTTTGTTTTTGTTTTTGAGGAGATAACTAACCCCAGCTGTCTCCAGTCTGACAAAGGTTATTCGAATGGACTTTATCTCCCAGTAGTTTGGAGATGTTTTAGAAGCACGTCCTGTGTTTGAATTGTGGCTGAGAGGTTTCCTTGGCAATGTGAGAAGGAAAATTCTTTCTGCCTCATTATTATTAATTCATGGATTGAGTGTTGGTTCGACCTACAGGAGTAATAGATTGGAACTCAGTGAAGACCCAGACGTTCCTGTTGAGATCAGCCAGCTAATGTAAGTGTGGCAATGTGGTGGTGTTTTTTCCCTTCCTCAACAGAGTGTACAGTTATGTAATTTAAGGCATAATTTCCTTGGATTATTAAGAAACCCAGAGGCCATCGTCAAAATATGTTTACCAACTTTTAGTTTTTGGACAAAGCATCTTTTTGAATGTGTGTGTCATAATGCATGCCTGTTATTTTTTTTTTAAGTCTGCAAAAACTCAAAACCAAACTGCCATTAAGCCATTCCAAAAGTCACAGGTAAGGTGAAAAATCCCTCTAATGCCATCTCCCCAGAGAAAATGCCCTTAATAGTTTATCAGGCCAGAGTTCTAAGTCCGAGCACATAGCTCTTCTTAAAATCACAACCTGGTGTCCCATTGTGGAGGTGCCATGATTTAGCATCTCCCTCATGCATAGATGCTTGGAGTTTTGCCATTAAAAGGAAAACTCTGACAGCTCTTCCTGTGGACATCCCTAGTAACGTGCTTTTAAGAGCTGGTTCTTACCTGTGTGTTTGTAGAATTGTCAGTTATTAGTCTCTAACAGACTGTGCCAATCTATTAAACCACTGTGAAGGTGTTTTGTTTGTTTGTTTGTTTTTCAATTTATAAAAGCTTTTGTGTCACTGATATTTGGCCATGTTGAATAAATCTTTTGCTGTTCGGGTGTTTTTTATTGTAGTGCCTCAGATCTATCAGTTTTTTATTGATGAGGTTTGATAGTATTTTATTGTTAACGCTGGTAAAGAAGGATTTTCACTCTAAACTTGGAAACAAACAGAACCTTGCATTTTGTCTCGGACCTGGATGATTATGTTTTTTATATTTGAAATGTTCCTTAAATATTCTAGTTAAGAAGGCATCACTGCTCTTCCTTTCACAGGCATGGTAGACATTGTCAAATATGACTTGCCTGTTGACTGAGCCCAATTACACATTCAGAATCTTTAGTGTGTTGTTGGATGTCAAGTTATTTTCAACTCCTAGCCACCCCATGTGACCCAGTAGAAAGGCCCTTCAGGGTTTCCTAAGCTGACTGCTAGGTTCTCCCCTGGAGTTGCTGAGTGGGTTTGAACTGTGCTTAACCTACCACACCAGGACACCTTTTCTTCTTCCTGCCATGGAGCCAATTCCATCTCTGACCCCATAGGGCAGGGTGGAACTGCTCCTGGGGGTTTCTGAGAATGTAACTCTTTATGGGCATAGAAAGCCCTATCTTTCTCCCAAGGAACTGGTGGTTTTGAACCACTGACCTTGGAGTTAGCAGCCTAATTCATAACCACTATGCCACCAGGGTTCTTATCTCTTTTCCTAGTAGAGTGGATTTTGACTTGAATGTCATTCCCTACATGGATCATTTTTAGAGAGAAATTGCATCTTTTAAACCTCCATTTACATCTCCATTGACCCAGGTCTTTTGTGCATTGGTCACTTTGTCTTCAAATGGGTCTTATACACTTCTTAAATGTCTGTCTTTGCATATGAATCGTTTTATTGTGAATGGGGCTCTTTAGTTGTCATGTGAATAGTTGCTGACATAGGAAATAGTATTACTGAGTTTGTATACTTAACTACTATCTAGCCACTAATATTATTTTCTGTATTTTTTAGTCAACTTTATATTGTCTAGTTGGCAAGCATATAATCTGCATAAATGGATCTTTTTTTCCTTTTTTGTCACATCTTGCTTCAAAAAGTTAGTGGAAAAATTCCATTATCGTTTTTTCTTTTTATTCAGTTTCCCCATGGACTTTGAAGCCACCTCATGTGGGTGTGTATGTTTCTTACTGCCTTTTAGACTCTCTCAAACTACAGATAGTAAAGATGGTGTTTCTTGCTTTTCCTTTTTCCCCTCAAGCCCACTTGCTTCTAGTGTTTTACTGGGTTGCATGCACTGATGGCGGCTTCTGATTAAGGGCTCTTAGTCTAAGAAAGTTCCTCCTCATTTCTTAGGTTTTAATTTTTTTTTTAAATCAGGAGTGCATGGTATATTGTAGAGTTATTCTCCCCAACCCGTGCGACCCCCAAGCCCTCTACGATTTTCCCTGTAAAAAAAATAACACAAACCCCCATCTCACCCTTTTTTTCCTAGCTTATCCTTCTTTAGAATCTGAAGATGACCATAAGGCCTCTGTTATTAACATAATGAATTAGTAGACTATAATGTTAAACCATTCTTAGCCTTCGAGGAATGTGTGTGTGTGTGTGTGTGTTTATGTGATGTGACGATGTACTGCTGATTTGGTGTGCTAATGTTTTATTTAGGATTTTTCATCTGTACCATAAGTCACACGTCGTTAGCAAGTTTAAAGCTTTTTAAAAAGCAGGAAAATTTGTTTTTCAGTCCTTTTCCCCACATAGACACCCTTGAGGAATTATTTTCAAAACTACATGGAATACGTTGATTTAGATACATTTTGTGTCTGAAATTTTCTTCCTTGTCCTGAGCTGACCTTGAGATTGCATAATTATCTTTTACAGAAGTTCAGGTGGAAATCTAATGATCAAGGTTAAAACTCTCTTTCTGTGTAGTCAATCTGCTTTTTCCTAAAGGTCTGTACTATTGGAATTCAAACAGTTCCCCTGTATCCATGTACTATAGTAGAGATAGCTCTTTGGAAAATTTCAGCCATGGACATCTTTAATTTTAAGGCTCAAGCCTGTCCAGTATTGAGAAATTCACTTACGTTGCTTCTTTTATTACTACCTCTATCAGTACCATCACTTCATTTTAGAATTTCCATTGTAGTCTCCTGGATCTGTTTCCATGCCATATGCCTTTTCCCATATTTACATTTCTTTCTGGGTTTTTGCTTTGCATTCTGGGAGGTGTCCTATCAATGATACCTAATCATACATTGCTTTAATTTTTTTTGATATTTACTTTGCTGTTGATTGCCTCTACTAAAATCGCTCTTTTTAATATTTTTTGTTTTGGTTTTAAAAAATTGATTATTAATTGGGAGTTAATACATTCATTGTTCCATAGTTCGATCATGTCATGCAGAATTAATTGTACAATTGCCACCACAATCAGTTTCTAAACATTCTTTTTCTTCCTGGACTGCTTAGCATTGTCTCCCTTTTATTTTATTCCACCATCACCACCACTGTACCCACCATACCCCCAAGCCCTTATTCTGCTTGCTTTTCCTGTAGATTCATCATTCCTGGGTTTCATATACCAAAACACATGAAAACACAACTTCATGAGGGTGACCTCCAGTGACATCATACTTCCGAGGTACACCGTAATGTGAACAAAGCAAAAATACAGAAAATGTTGAAAACCCTGTCAGATCCAGCATGCATCAGAGGGGGGACCAATAGACAAAAGTATTATCTGTTCGAGTCAGATTTGTGCCTTTGGTCTTCTGTGCTCGTCTCCAGTGCACTCTGTCTAGTGACCACTGGCTTCCCATCAACTGTGGACAGAAGGAGTTCACCAGAGGCTCATTTCCTATGTAGTTCCCATGTGGCAGGAGATTAGATCATTGTTTTTTTTTTCTTTTTCCATTTAAGCTATTTGTTCACACTCTTTATCCTGTAGTGTTGTGTTCATTTATATCAATGCTATATCCTTCTGAAAGTATGCATTATATTAAATTTGTTTTTTCCTCTTTCCATACATTAACTTAGGGTTGGGAAGGGAAAGTACTATCAGATTTTTATCCCTCTACTTTCAAATAGCTATCTTCTGTTGAAAGTGATCAGGATTTTCTTGGCAATTTAGATATTTATTCTTCCCTCTTAAAATTTAAGAAGCAATTTATTGGGTTTCTATATGGAGTGGCAGTGAGTCCCAATAATGTTTAAAATTCTAATTTCTATAAAGGTTTTCTTGAATAACAAACAATCCATTTTCTCCCTTAGTACAACTACAAGAACCCAACATACAGCATTCATAAAGGGACTCTTCTGTTGGACAGAAAGGGTGTGCCCATCTATTCCACAGTCTGTCAACACTCCTACCTGGGAGGGTTACTGAATCTAACTGGAGAAGAATTGCCACCATTCAGTTCTTGCTGGTTTCTTTCTTAGCTGCCGTTTGTTGTTTGGTCATGATGTTGGAGCTTCCTCAAAACCAGCAAGTTTTCAACGATGCTTTTTCCGGCTGTTAGTTTCAGGTGTGAAATTAATGTTCGGTCCCAGTTTTGTCCTTTACACCACCACCACCCCCAAAAATTAGTGTAACATTTTTCTTTTGATCATATTAGTACATCTCTTTGTTGCATATACCCCCCAAAATACCAGAATTTTGTTTCAAAGCTATGCATTATTTTTTTTTTTTTTTTACACAAAGCAACCTTATCATCTTCAAATTACTCTCCAGTACACTTAATAAATTTGTCAAATCTGCAATTCCATTCTTGGAAACATTTTTCTTTTTTTTTTTTTTTTAATTTTATTTTTTGGGAAACATTTTTCAAACTCAACTGTTTAGATGGCTGACAGCATCTCCCTCATTTTTTTTCTTCTTTTTTTTTCTCCCTCATTTTTTTCTTCATCTCTTCTGTGTCTTCAAATTGCTGTCCTATCATGTCCCTCTTTATTTGCTGAAGCAAAAAGAAGTCACAGGTAGCCAAGATCAGGTGAATAAGGTGTGTGGGGCATTAGAGGCATGTTGGTTTTTGCCAAAAACTGGTGCACTGAGATGGCTGTGTGAGCAGGTGCATTGTTGTGGTGGCAAAATCAGTCTCCCTTCTACCACAAATCAGGCCTTTTTAAAAATCACACACTGGTAAGCAATCTTCAGAACCTCTAAATCAGGGGTCCTCAAACTTTTTAAACAGGGGCCAGTTCACTGTCCCTCAGGCCCGTTGGAGGACCGGACTATAGTTTAAAAAAACCAAATCCCTATGCACACTGCACACATCTTATTTTGAGGTAAAAAACAAATGGGGCAAAAACACCCAGTGAGCCGGATAAATGCCCTCGGTGGGCTGCATGTGGCCCGCGGGCGGTAGTTTGAGGACGCCTGTTCTAAATAGAAAGCTTGATTAACAGTCTG